GGATGGATGGATGGATGGATGGATGGATGGATGGATGGATGGATGGATAGATGGATGGATAGATAGATAGATAGATATCAATTTTGATATTAAGAAGTATTTTATAACTTTTAAAGGACTCAGCAAAACAGAAGTATGTATTGTTTTTTTAAATTATTCATACACAAAGATAATTTTTATATGTAAAATATTATTCAAAGTCAACACTCTATAATGGAACATTCCCCGTTCCCCATTATTATGCTAGCCTAGTTTCTATTTGTTTAAATAATAAAGAGTTAACATTATTTGGAGAGCAGTCAACTCCACAGTTTTCTGAACTGTCCCAAATAATCATTTTCCTTTAGAATCACTCTGTCCATTCAAAACTCTGGGGACATGGCATTTTGAAGATAATGAGAGCTTATAGTTCAAGGCAAATCAATACATACATTATGAATAGAGTGAGATTGTAGCATTAAGTACCAGAGCAAATGTTGGCTTTCCTAGATGATAAGTTGATCTGTAAATAACTACATATATACAACAACAGCAATACTACCAACATCAACTTTCTTTTCTTTCTGTGATTCCATTTCGGATTTATTTATTTTTCATTTTGCAAATGAACCATACAACTGAAAGAAGAATCTGGCTCATGGAAGAAGTTAAGCCTGAGTAGAATATTGTGACTCTTCTCTTCCTATTGAGCTTTATGTAGCTGTATATTTATTTCCAGATAAGGCTGTAGCCTTTATAGGTTTTGTCTTGGATCAAGTCTAGATAATTCTGCATGGCATCATCCTCTTAGATTAACTACGTTTATATTCACTGGCACAACAAATAGAGTGGGTACAAATAAATAATTTGCTTGTAGATCTCTAGTTAAAAAGATTCGTCAGCAGGTGATGGAATCCTGGAGATGTGTTGCCAATATCATTAGACAACAGTGGGACTTGATGGATTAAGAGTGTAAACTCAGAAAAGTTAAAATTATCATAATCTGGGCTGTAACAGTCCGTGACCCGTCAAAACCGCGCTCGACTAAACTGCGCCCGACTAAACCGCGTCGCTGACGTCATTAACAGGGCGACAACAGCCAGCGCGGAGAAAGAAGGGCGCTTTAAATAGCGCTTTGAAAACAAGCCGATTCAACTTAAGGTAAGGGTTAGCTTTAGGGTTAGCTTTAGGGTTAGGGTTAGGGTTAGGGTTAGGTTAAGGGTTAGGGTTAGGTTTAGGGTTAGGATTAGGTTTAGGGTTAGGTTAAGGGTTAGGTTTAGGGTTAGGTTAAGGGTTAGGGTTAGGGTTTTTAGGATTAGGTTTAGGGGGTTAGGTTTAGGTTTAGGGGTTAATTTTAGGTTAAGGGTTTACAGCGTGCTTCTGTCTCTGCGCTGTTGTCGCCCTGTTGATGACATCAGTGATGCGGCTTAGTTGGGCGCGGTTTAATCGAGTGCGGTTTTGTCGGTGAACTGTAACAGTCCCAAGAACCATTAGAGGGCAAGAAAACTGACTCTTTGCTGCCATCTAATGGTCAGTTTCTGATGATCAAGTTGTCAGAGAGACTGTCACATTCAGACGGAGGGATCAAGTGAGGGAATTGTTATGTAGACACAAGAAGACAAGGTCTGACTCTCCCTTGAATACTGTTAAATCTTACATAGTCTCTCTGGGGGCGAACTGCCAGTCTGAGAAGATTGCTGTGAAATATGCTTGAGCAATAAAGTAGAGCTCAACACAAATAGATCAAATTGTCTTTTCTGGGTCTTCATTACTTTCCTTTTACTTTTTGTTTAAAAAAAACTAATCCTACCTCTAAGTTTAAGCACTGCGTACATCATACACCATACTGTATGCATATAGGATCTTCCTGTATATCTGGCTGTATTCTCTGGGTCAGCTGATTCTGATTGTTGATAAATACTTCATTTATTAGATACATTTAAAATAATTTCTTCTTGAATAAGAATATAAAACACAGAAAAGTGGCATTGATCCAGAAAACAAATAGTGACTTGGTATAAGTGAAAATTATTCTAGGTGTTTTAAATTTACTTTACTATATATGGTAAGCAAGGATTTTCAATAAAGTTTAGTTTCAAAGTATATTTTTCACTATTAAGATTCCACTTCAGTTCTAAGAAGCAGGATACATAAAAAGAAAAATAAAGCATGGGAGAATAATCACTTACCTACTGGGTTAGGGTAGCTGATTGCTGAGAAAGGAAACAGAAATAGATTTATAAAAATACCTTTAAATTAACACATTTAAAGATAAGAGGAAAAAAACCCAAGTACCTGGATTTGATCTGATTAAATATCTGTATCCTTTTGTTCCTGGGCAGATTGAAAGTTGAGATTGAATGCAGACAATTTACAATTTAAACTTTGAAAATTGCACTAACAGAGACTGTCCACAAGAAATTGTGTTCTTTTTGAGAAATAAGAAATGTATTATATTTATTTATTTTTCATCCATCTATCCACTCATCAAGAAACTCTGGGTCATTTACAGGGGATTGAAAACATCAAAGAATCCCATTCTTTCATGGAACTGGGTGGGAATTAAGATAACTTGAAAGAATGGATGCCAATATGTGAGAGAGGTTGTACCTTCTGTCATGTCATTAGACTAAATTTTATATGAAATTTTAAATCCTGTAGGAGAAAGCTCCATGTTTAAAGAATTTGATGCCCTCCCCCCCCCATTAAAATGCTATATAGTATGCTTGCATAAAATGATGTTCAACTTTATATCCCATACTAACAAATTAGTAAAATGTGTGATAGAAAAAGGTTTGATATCCATTAAAAGTTAAAGTCAAGGCTCACAAAATTCTGAACCTTGTACCTTACAATGCTCTATGATCATAATAAAGATTTGATTGATGGTATCTTTCTAAATTGAATACACTTACCGAAGATGCTATTTGGTCATTGAACTATGTACTGTTTATTCATTTCACACTGAAAAATGATTCATGGATACAAATCACCACGTAACCTAATAGTTGGGAGCAAACTGATGACACGTTTCACATTAACTGTTGCTTTGGTGATGGTGATCAAACACTGAGGCCAGTTTACTTGGAAGATAGTCTGGATAGCGCATATTGTATATGATATTTTAAAAATCACCTTGATTTCTGGAGATGTTGAGATATAATTCTTACAATTTCCCACCAGGAAATTTTGAGATTTGTTATTCAATATATATTGGGAAGATCAGTGGGAAAAGGTTTCTCTGAATAATGCAGGTCTATTAAGACTTTGTCAAAAGAAATACACTTCCTTCAGTTAATACTTGCCTTTGGGGGGTTCAAGAACTGTCAAGTAATGGAGAGAAAGAGACACTCACGTTCTATATAGTGGATGATGCGAGTAACGATGTCCCCCATCCCAAACCGGGTTATAGGTGTCAAGCGAAGTTCATAGCTTTGAGGCACCTTCAAGTCAGTCAGGAGGTATTCCTGTAACATGCCCTTTTCCATCTTCCTCACAGAAATGGATTTAGGTGGCAAATCCCTGTGATTCAGCTGTGATTCAAAGATATAAGGCAAGATTGAATTAGATAAGAGTAGATAGTTATGGAATCTGAATGCTGAAGGAATTTTATGAGCTTTGTATTTCAAGAATATCGTTTCTTTTCTTTATCAATTATGAGTTGTTTATTCAGAGTAAAAGTTGCTGGTATTTCTGCATATGCTTGACCTAGTGCTAAATTCTAAAATATGGGAAAGGGTGTTGAGTCCTCAGAGCCTCACAAGTTTATAAACCAAAAATTTAAAAGTAGCAATTGTTTTTAACTTCTGTAATAATGAAAACTCACCCTACTAATGAACAATTTGGGCTATAGTTTCTATTGAATAGATTATAAGAAGTTTGTAACTAATATAGTAAGTATTTTGATAAAATTATGGAGCAGATGTTCTATTTGCCATTGTGTTATATGCAAACAAAAAACTGGGCTTAATCCTGGTTTGCACAATATTAATGTTTTTTTTGTCACAAGCACACTTTGCCTTTATACATATTCATTTATTAAAACTACTTTTTTCAGAAAGTCCATATTAATAGCAATAGCTCTTAGACTTATATACTGCTTCACAGTGTTTTACAACCCTCTCTAAGCAGTTTACAATGTCAGCATATTGCCCCCACCAATCTGGGTCCTCATTTTACCAATGTCAGAAGGATGGAAGGCTGAGTCTACCTCTTGCTCATAAGTGCATGTATATTTGGCCTTATATCTGCCTGACTAATGAGATGAGCCATTTCCTCCCTAGACCAGATCTATCTTCTTGGTCTACAGCTTTGCTGAAAATAAAATGAAGCTGAAGCACTATTTGACCAACCTAAAAACAAATTGTCCTCTGATACCAATCTACCCACTGAGCCAGGATTCTATTTAGTTTTCATTATCAAACAACCATCCTAGTCTTTGATATGTTAATTTTCAGATTCATACTTCTAAATTCATCAAGCAATATTCATAGCAAAACATTTGGATTTTTATCCAGCAACATGTCACTGCCTATGTATTATGCACTTACACTCCTAATCAAGACATCTTTACCACAACCACAATATTTATCCATAAATATATTAAACAAACAAGGGGATATGAAACACCTTTGTCTTATTCTCTGCCCAGTCTTGAAACATTCACTAAGCACTCATAATTTATATTATTCAGCAATTATCTCTCTATAATTATGCAAAACATGTCCTAATTCAGGCCTATTCATTTTATCCCATGTTTTCTCTATATCAACAAATATACAATAATTTCCCCTGTATTCATAGATTTCTTGGTGACTTACTAAAGACACAAAATCTGAGCAGCATATTCCCAGGACTGAAGTTCATAGATACTGACTTCTATATGACTATCGGCGGCCTATGGGCCAGACACATCACATGCAGGCCACACCCACCCCAGTTCCACAAAGGTAAAAAACATCACGAAAGGTCACAATATGACCTTTGTTCTTATCACCTGTTCTTCAGTGAGTCAAGGTTTTTATTTAATACTTTTATTAGTACTATGTAGAGAAGGTTACTAGCCTTAGTTGTACATGTGTCACATGCAGCAATCCCTTTCCTAATTGTATCACAGACATGCTTATACTGATCTACTCAGTCTATGGCCTTTAATCTAGAGACTGTCTTTCAGGTCAACTTATTGTTGTCCACAACCCACCAATTCAGAGTTTCAGAAGTACATGTGCACTCAAGAGGTGTGGTGATTAAATATATTTTTTGGGGGGGACTGCAAAAAATGAACATAGCTACCTCTACTTCTACTTGTTTCAAATAGCCACTTTTAGACACCACATGGTCAAGATTCTTCTGATACATGATCTTATGCATATACATTTTGTATGCTTATTTAAGTTTTTAACAGAAATTAAGAGGTCTCTGACTCCGATTAGAAATAAAGAAGAAGGAGAAAGACAAGACTTTTTCCCCACTCATCCTGTATCTCTGATAAACATTGTACCTTCTCCAAATACTCTGTACCTGTTTCCTGTAGTCTAGCAAGCAATTCCTGATTGAAGAACTAGTTTGCATGCGTGAAGTGAAATATCAATGCTCTTTTTCCTCTATGCAACAGTCTTAGTATACAATCCTTGGCCCGATCTGTATTAATACTTAAAAGCAGCACAAGTAATGCTAATCTTTTATATCAATTCTAGTTTTCAATTCAGCTGTATAATTTACAGATGGTGCTATTTCTCAAGATGATTAAACTCCAAGCTCCTTGAGTAACTATGTTCTTCTTCATGCATCTTCAAGCAGGTTGTACTCTTGTTTTTATCTTAACTTGCTTGGTTCTGCTCTTTTAAATAGAGTTTAAGGAAGTCTTGATTGCATGACTGCTACTTAGGATAGAAAAGCTTCTTGGGAACTGCAACCAAATAAGGAAGAAATATTACGCTTCTGGAATCTTGCTAGAGTCCATTTTAATGCAAAGGGGATTCACATGACAACCTTAGATTTCGGCTTTTCTATTGATCTCCTACCAACAGAAGCAAACACAAAAGCAAAAACTTTTATATACATATGTGTCACTTTACTGCTTCCTGGAAATAACACCAGCTCTTAGAATAAAAACAAGGTACGTTCCAGCATCAAAGAAAAAGGGCTGTTTAACAATATTGAACTAAGCATTTCTGATAGGGAGACAGCTGTCCTAAGTTTAAGGACAACTGTTCCTTTATATCTGATATACTCAGCTGTGTGAAATCCAATTTGCACAGCATAATTTGCAGACATGGAATGACTTTGATTTTACCGATGGCTCCCCTGTGCTTGCTCTGTTTGCAAATTTGTAGAATAAAAGACTTGTAGAATTGCATCTTACTTTTCAGTAAGCTTATAATCTGCAAACTTGGTTTTGTAAAACTGTACTTCATGGTCTTGTAGAAAAGTGAACTGCATGCATGATAGAGTCATATAATTCATTTATATCTAGGCATCCATAGAGGACTTCAGGCTTAAAGATAAACCCTTACAGCATTTTCCGATAATTTGAAAGTTTTCTTGCATTGCTTGAATTATGTATGCATATGTAAGGTGACCAGATTTTCAGATTGGTAAAGAGGGACACCATTGACCGGAGTGGGTGGGCGGGCTTGATTAAAAATTTTATATTTTGTCAAAAGCTCACAAAAGGCGATTAATGACCCCGGGACACTGAAACCATCATAAATATGAATCTGTTGCCAAACAAAATTTTGATCACGTGACCATGAGGATG